GGAGTATTTCTGTAATAAAGCCCTTTTGTGGGGAAAACTCATTCTGATTGGCTGGGCCTGGCTCCCCAGTGGGTGGGCCTGGCTGCCAAGTGGGTGGGTCTATACCCTCCCAGGCCCACCCATGGCTGCAACCCTGCCCAGCCATGTGAAATCCATAGATTAGGGCCTAATTTATTGATTTCAATTGACTGATTTCCTTATATGAACTCAGTAAAATCTTTGAAATTGTTGCATGTTGTGTTTATATTTTTGGTCAGTATATTTTTACCAGAAAAGTGAGATTCTAATCTTTCTTGGAGTATGCAGCAATACTAGTTATTGTTTATGGCCCTCTCATGATAAATACATACTTTTGGGGATGTCTATATAGACAGAAATCTATATTTCTACATTACATTCAACATGTTAATGTTTGTTTGAAGCCCTATTATTTACATTAGTCAGTCTTTGACACAGCATGATGATTCAGCCTGACCATAAAGCTACTGTTTCCACGATGTTGCTATATTTATAATCTGTAGCTAAAACAACTATGAGTTACAACTGCATTTTAGTGCTAAGCTACATGTCTCCAGCCCCATTCATGTTATAAAAAATAAAGGTTAATTATTATTATTATTATTCAATCATTTGATCACATGGTGGGGCTGCTGCTGTGTTGTTTGTATTTTGTCAAAATATTGGGCCTCTATAATTATTTAGTTTATTAATTCATTCATATCCAGGTTGATGATAGTCCCAATTCAGCTGCAGTGGAAGAGAGAGTCAGCGAGAGCCAGGATACGAGCCCAACTTTTGAGTATTTCAAGTCAGACGACCTAAACATGCGTTTTACTTTCCACCCTCAACAGAATAAATAAAAAAACTGTGGTGCAGAAGGTTTTCTGTTTTAAAGATGGCACCAATCAGAAGGGGCTGTAATACAGTGAAGAAAGCCATGCTTTATACTGTTCAATTTGTACGGCATTTGCCAAGCCCACTGACAGCAGTATTTCCATGAGTGGAATGACAGATTGGAAACATATTCACCAAAGAGTAGAAGAGCATGAGAAGAGCAACATGCACAGAAGTAGTTCTGAGGCATACCTCCAAAGCAGACGTTGAAACTCTGCTCAGTGACGGTCAGATGTCTGCTCACAGAGAGCAGGTTCGCAAGAGGAGGGAGGTGGTGGAGTGTGTAATAGATGTAGTCAAAGTCATTAGTAAGAGGGGGCTTAGTTACCAAGGATACCAAGGATCATTTTGCTATTTGATTTTAAGACCCCTTAAAGTATCCCCAAAATATATAAAACAATGATTTGATGAACATTTTTATTTGGCCTTACTTATATTAGCCCATTCAAACGGAATTAATAACAGATTCACTACATGGAACAACAGATAGTCTCCCAAAAAAATCTAAAGTTAGTTTGTTCTGAAGTGTCTGTCCTATATCTGAGAGATATAATACATACTGTATTACATTACATACATAATATAATTCATACTGGCCCTCCTGTAGCTCAGTTGGTAGAGCATGGCGCTTGCAACGCAAGGGTTGTGGGTTCGTTTCCCACTGGGGGGCCAGTATGAAAAATGTATGCACTCACTAATTGTAAGTTGCTCTGGATAAGAGCGTCTGCTAAATGACTAAAATGTCAATTGGATCACAAAAAAAAAGATATATATATATATATAAGAATGATCAAGAAACATTTTTTACATGTATTTAACCCCTTCTTTTAGGCAATAAACTGTTTCCATATATACTTCCATTCATTTTTTTTATCCTAGAGGAAAACCTGGTTCAGTCTGCTTTCCAACAGACACTGGAAGACTAATTCACCTTTCAGTAGGACAACAACCTAAAACACAAGGCCAAATCTACACTGGAGTTGCTTAGTAAGACGACATTAAATGTTCCTGAGTGGCGTTGTTACAGATTTTACTTAAATTGGCTTGAGAATCTATGGCAAGACTTTAAAATGTCTGTCTAGCAATGATCAACAACAAAGTCGACAGAGATTGAAGAATAAAAAAAAGAATGATGGGCAAATATTGTACAATCCAGGTGTGCAAAGCTCTTAAGTCATGTTCACATTGGCAGGTTGAAGTAACTCAAGTTAGACATTTTTGCATATCCGACTAGAATCTGTTCTTTTTCCTGCATTCTGAACAGCCAAAAAGCACATGGAATCTGATATTTCAAGCCACATTTCAAACCACACCTTCGTAGGTGGTTTGAAGTCAAATCCGATTCCTGGCCATGCGACTTGTGTCTGAACGGCCAAATCTGATTCATTTGCACTGAAGTGTTTTTTTCATCACTCCCTATGTGATGCAGTGTTGTCTGACATCATCACTTCGTGACACAAACAACAAACAAGCATGGAGGACAAGAGTTTGTGGAGTGCCGAAGAGGTGTGTTGCTTTGTCACTGTGGGCGAATGACTCAGTGCAAGCGAAACTTGAGGGATCCTATAGGAATAAAGCTATATATGAGGAAATGTCACAGGGTATGGCTGAAAGTCGGTTCAACCGGTCAGGGTTACAGTGCCAGCACAAAATAAAAAACGTAAAGAACAAATACAAGGAGACTAAAGACCAGAACAACAAAAGCTGGACAGGGCGAACCACTTGTCCATTCTACGAACAGCTCAATGCTATTCTTGGGGACAAGCCAAGCATTCAGCCTTTGCACGTGATAGATCACTTGGCTGATGTTGACAATGATGGTGAAGAAGTAAGTAGCTAGCTAGCTAACATAGACTAACCTCTATGCTCGCAAATGTTATACATCCCCCACTCCACTGTAGTGGCAGTGACAGCAGCTGCAAACAGTAGGGCATATCATATTCCCCCTTCTGATAACCAGGTGGCGAATCGCATCTCTGCATGTCTGGCAGACATATCAGTATGGATGACGGATCACCACCTCAAGCTGAACCTTGGCAAGACGGAGCTGCTCTTCCTCCCGGGGAAGGACTGCCTGTTCCATGATCTCGCCATCACGGTTGACAACTCCGTTGTGTCCTCCTCCCAGAGTGCGAAGAGCCTTGGCGTGACCCTGGACAACACCCTGTCGTTCTCCGCTAACATCAAGGCGGTGACCCGATCCTGTAGGTTCATGCTCTACAACATTCGGAGAGTACGACCCTGCCTTACACAGGAAGCGGCACAGGTCCTAATCCAGGCACTTGTCATCTCCCGTCTGGATTACTGCAACTCGCTGTTGGCCGGGCTCCCTGCCTGTGCCATTAAACCCCTACAACTCATCCAGAATGCCGCAGCCCGTCTGGTGTTCAACCTTCCTAAGTTCTCTCACGTCACCCCGCTCCTCCGCACACTCCACTGGCTTCCAGTTGAAGCTCGCATCTGCTACAAGACCATGGTGCTTGCCTACGGAGCTGTGAGGGGAACGGCACCTCCGTACCTTCAGGCTCTGATCAGTCCCTACACCCAAACGAGGGCACTGCGTTCATCCACCTCTGGCCTGCTGGCTCCCCTACCTCTGCGGAAGCATAGTTCCCGCTCAGCCCAGTCAAAACTGTTCGCTGCTCTGGCACCCCAATGGTGGAACAAGCTCCCTCACGACGCCAGGACAGCGGAGTCACTCACCACTACCTCTTTAAGGAATACCTGGGATAGGATAAAGTAATCCTTCTACCCCCCCCCCCCCCCCCCCCCCCCCCCCCAAAAAAAAAAAATTTGTAAGTCGCTCTGGATAAGAGCGTCTGCTAAATGACGAAAATGTAAATGTAAATGTAATATCTCACCCTCCTCTGTCATTGACGCCGTATGTGCATTAAAGTTAGCCGAATGCATTTCTGACTGCAACCAGCCATGATTCTCATGAAGAGGAAAAGGGCAAGCAACTGCAAAACTTCAGGCATTGTTGTCACCCACAACAGGATGCACGAGCACCACCACCAATCAGCAGTGGTTTTCAAACCTCTCCTCTAGGACCCCAGACCTTTCACAATTGTGTTGTAGCTCTGAACTAGCTTACCTGATTCACCTATTCAATGGCTTGATGATTAGTTAACAAGTTGAATCAGGTTTGTTAACTGTGGAATAGTTAAAATAATAGTTAAAATACATGTAATGGCTCAGGGTCCCTGAGGAGAGGTTTGAAAGCCCCTAGCCTACACCACTGCACACGGTCCTGTCATTGCTATGACAACTAGCGTAACCATGTCTGTTTAAGACTACACTGTCTAAATGCACACATCTGATTTGGTCACTTGGAAATACTGTTTGAACGGTCAGAATTCCAAAACCGATTTAAAAAACAAAACCGATTTGAGCATTAAGGCCTTCAGTGTGAACAAAGCTTTTGAGACTACCCAAAAAGACTCACAGCTGTAATCACTGCCAAAGGTGTTTCTAACATGTATGGACTCAGGGGTTTGAATACTTATCTAATCAAGATAGTGTTTTATTTTTCATTAATTTAGAAAAATGTTAATTGTTCTTCTTCTTTGACATTACAGATAGTATTTTGTGTAGATTGTTGACAAAAGAATTACAATTAAATCCATTTTAATTCAATTTTGTAATGCAACAAAACATGGAAAAAGTCAAGTGGGTTGAATACTCTCCCAAGGCACTGTACCATGCCTTGTGAAATAATTGTCAAAGGCACAAGCGATATGGTTGCTTGTAGGTCTAGATTATTTATGGGTTGATCATATAGAAATATCAAAACATTCTTTCAACAACTCCAAAGCAATTGCCTGTCTATCGCACAGGAACTGATTCGCTACCTTTTTCTATTATCAAGACACCTGCTGGTAACTCCTAACTGGTTAGGACAGCTTGAGGTCTCCTAAATATCTGTCGACTAGGTGGGACTATTATGACTAAAGTGGCTTCATACATAGCTTTTAGGAGTAAAATGTCTCTATTCTCAGCACCTACGACCAATTTTATACTCTGAGACAGTGGATACGGCCCCAGACTTAGCCATGTCTTTGAGGGAAGAGACAATGTGATATCCTTTCATCTCCTTTCTCCCCTTATCAATCCAGGACAAGGATAGCTTTTGAGATCCTCTCTTTTTTGTCATCCATAACTAATGTCCTTCTCCTCCCTCCAATGATGAGCTGAGCTCCAGCCACCCAGCCTACATAGATGGACACCCCAGCTCTCCTCTCCTGGGTGGCAGAACCCCTGGATGATGGTGTGTGCCGATCAGCTGACAAGGATAACACTGCGCCCACCGCAATGCTAAGCAGTAGTCTCGGAAGTTGGTGCAGCGCGCACCGACCACGGTCAGGCCGATGGAGAGCACACTGAACCCGATGGAGACAGAGAGCCCGGGAGGCCTTCGTTTCCTGGGGTAAGGCCAGGAGAAAATTGTTGACTCTGCTCTGCATGTGGCCTATGGTCTGGATCACACAGTTCATTCATAACCACTCCCAGAACACCTGGGTGGTTACATTGTTGGCTCCGACAATGGCAGGGACCTTCCACACGGGCAGGGCACAGATCATGATGGTCCCCAGGAACCCGATGAAGGCCATGATCTGTCAACCCATTGTTCCTCACTAATAGTTTAAAGTGTCCACAAGGGGGTTCTGGACATTTGTTGCCATTATCTTGCTGGATCTGAGGTTTACCTCAACTAGCTTGTATTTCCTAAACTACTTTGAGTAAAGTTAAAACCATTTAAGTTGTTAGTGGAAGTAAAGGTCTGGTTGTCATTCTGTTCACACAACCCCATAGAGAAACATTGAAATTAGTTTGCCTACTTAAATATTTGTCTGCTTAAAGGGATCATGATTAGATTGTGAGTGAAAACAAGTTTTAAACCCTTGTCTAGACCATGAGACCCCACCTACTTGAAACAAAAAACATTTAATGTTGCAATTCAAGAACAAATAAGGAATTAAAATATTTATTAAAGCAATAAATCAGTTAGATAAAACTTGATACAAAAAAAATAGATTTGCCTTCGTCAAATGTCCAGGTGCACTGACACATGCACCAAATGCCGCCATGTAAAACAAGTCTTCATCTTGTCAGACGTAGGCCCCTCCATTGGGGGCGGAATATTTGGCAGAGTACCCCCTCTCTTCGCGCAAGGGGCACCGGCAGCAGAGAAGCGCACCCCCAATGAGCATTAGGCCAGCAGAGCCCCATCCGATGAACAGCGAAGCTCCCAGCTCTCTCCTCTGCGCATCAGTGAGCAGCGGGTTGTAAAAGTCCCTGATAACAGTGTTGGCGGACCAGGACACTGGGATCAGGCAAAGGACGCCGGAGACCAGGAAGAACACGCCAGATGCGATGGCCACCTTGGACTTGGCCTCCTCGTCCTCAATGCAGTTGGTGCACTTCCCCCCAGCCACGGAGAGTAGGATGCCGATCACGGCCACGAGGATGGAGATGATCACCAGAGCTCTGGCGGCCTGAAGGTCCTGGGGGAGAGCTAGCATGGAGTCGTAGACTTTACACTGCATCTGGCCCGTGCTCTGCATCACGCAGTTCATCCACAGGCCTTCCCAGAAGGTCTGCGCAGTCACGATGTTGTTGCCTATGAATGCAGTCACCTTCCACATGGGGAGCGCACAGATGACAACGTCCCCAAGGCAACCAATAATAGCCAGGAAGATGCCCAGAATCTGGAGACCAGTGGATGCCATAACTTGCGCTCTCTGTAGTCAGACAAGATTCACATAAAACCTGAAGGACCAGTGTTTAGCAGTAGGAACACTTGCTGAAGTGGTGAGGCTACAGACCCCAACCTATATACCCACCTACCAGGGTGTGGTCACTAATTAAGCCGATTGAAAGCACCTGTGGATGTTTATCGGCCAATACACACCCACATAACTAATTAATTGACCAGTCTGCCTATAGTATCAGTCCGATTTTCGCCGCCACCTGTGGCATGTAGCCTACATAATTAACCATTATTGATACCAGCTGTGAGGCTAATTGTCCAAGCTCATTCATTTTCAGCATGTCAACTAAACACAGGCAGTTGTATCCACTGAGGAAGTTTGATTAAGCTGACCCGCAGTGCACCAGTCTATGGCCCGTGACGTGAACGGGGCAAAAGCGGTGAGGAAGGAGCGCCCATTCCAAATCAGACAGTAACCTGCGCCGCTCTGTGATGTTGTCAACAAGGCAGCATGGTGCATCGTTCAGAGACATACATCTCTTTTCCATAAAATATATGTTAGAATTTTCAAACTAGTGTTCATTGGGAAGGAAGATAAAGCATTTCTATTAAAAGCAATCACTTTTGCATTAGAAAACACATAATGCTACTTATTACTCCACGTGCTTAACCTATGTAAATTTTGTTTTAAACAACTACGCCATTGACCAGAGCAGGGCACCTGGCTCCATAGTTGCACGCCCAGGAGACAACCCGGTTCCAAAACTAATGCAATCACGTTTCACCCGGTGCAAACTACTCCCACAGGGACAACCCAGGCCAGATAATCAAATCCCCTCAATGATCTCCAATTTATCTGAATGAATCCCCTAAATGATCTCCAAATCACCTGAATGGCCAAGCTTTCTGTGCGTAAAACCTGTACGTCAGTTTGGAGATTAGTGAAGGCCAGTGTGCCTGGGCTGCTTCTTATTGATGATTGTCAATGGGCTGTAGGTTTCAGTGAGGGAGTTCGATTAAGCTGAACCACGGTGTACAGTAATCTGCGCTGCTTGGTCATGTTGTCAACAAGGCAGCATGGTGCATCGTTCAGAACATAGGCCTACAACAATGTTTTTTTTACATAAAATATATGTTTGAATTTTCAAACTAATTTTCAGTGGGAAGGCAGATAGTGTTTTTTCAAAAGCAATCACTTTTTGCATGTGAAATTACAGAATGCTACTCATTACTACATGTGCTTAACCTATGACACTTTTGTTTTGACTGGACTTTGCCATCGGCCAGAGCGGGACACATGGCTCACCAAAGCAATCCCTTTTCACCTGGTGCAAACTCCTCCCACCAGGGCCAGATAATCGAATCCCCTCCTTGGTAGATTATCCATTTAGCATCTGACAACCGAAATCACATTAGGATTTTCAAAAGCAAAGTAGACCTACAAAGCAACGATTTTCTAGTTCTCAAATAAAATGTGAATATTGATTTGTTTGAGACTTTGGTTGTTTCAGAGTTTGCATACTAGGCCTACATTATTTGATAACATGTTTTCCTGTACTTTACACTATCCTGATAAGGGCCTTTGCTGGATTTCGACCATCTGGCTTCCACTAGATTACACATCCTCCAAGTCAAAATGCGCTGCTGTATATGCCAAAAATTTATGGAAACAAAAATGTGCTTTTGTCTTAATTTAAGGATAGACGTAACGTTAGTGTGGTTAAGGTTAGGTTTAAAAATCCGATTGAGAAATAGGAGTGGTTTTACTTTGTGGCTGTTAACTAGTGACGACCCCATATGGCCTGGCTCCAATCAAGCGCAGTACAGTAGAAATGCTCTAGCAGGGACATCACATCAGGGAGACAGAACCACCCCGGTAGTAAAAATACACTTAAGATGTGTCCGAACCGGGGATGGTTGTAACACTAAATATCTCCAATCAGGAACAAGCTAGAATCATAGACTCACTGTGCACATGCTGTTTAGTCCGCAACCTTCATGTGAAGATGCGAGACCCTGATCTGATTGCACAAACGATTGAGAAGTAATGTCCAAATTTGTTTTTGTAATGGCATCACCTGCTTTGTAGTTACAAACATTTCAGGTTTAAAACCTGTGTGTAGATATGATTTAAGTTAGCAATGCTAAAGTTGTTGCTAAAATGTAAGCTAGCTAATGGTCAGGGTTAGTTGTAACAAGCCCAAGGTCATCTGGGTGCAGACTAGGAATGCAAATTATGGGACTACCATAACACGCAACTGTGTCACTCACACTGCAGTCTCTCACTAACAAACATTTAGTTCAGATGAAGGGCCAGTTAATGGAGCCTAAAAAAAAACATTTTAATTCTGCCACAAAATGTTAAACATGGCAATGTTGTTCAATTTCACAGTTTATTAATTCTCAAACTTACATGTCACCCAAAGCCTTGTTACTGACCCAGGAGTTGGGGTACATTGTAACAGTTCACTCCTTGTATTCAAGACAGTCACAGCCTGTCCGTTGGATTTAGAGAACACCTATACCATTTTGTAGCAGACAGATGTATTGTTCTTATCACATTGAATGTAGCTCAATCTGAGAGAGTCACAAATGCAGAACGTGTTAACCATCCCTGTCTTTTCGTCACGTTAGACTGCAAAATGTGATTTCTTCACTTTTACTTGAAATAACTTATACAGACAACTTGTCTTGTGCACGTTATTTGACTTGCAATGACTTAAGTACTGTGCTCATCCAATAACGCTACAGAGAAGTTTAATGCAGAAAGGTTGTCACCGTTATGGTTCTGTCAAGACTGCACAACAAATAAATCCCCAGAGAACCATTAAAATTAGTTAGCCTACTTTAGGGGATTAGTATATTTTAGCCAATTAGACCTGACCATGAGCAGATGGTCAGTGAACACTCAAGTTGCCTACACCATGACCTAGCCTTCTTGAAACTAAAAACGCTTCAAATGTTACAATTAAAAAACGAATGATAAGCATTAAAATATTTATTAAAGCAAATAAATCCATTAAGATAAAACATTTAATTAAAAATTATTCAAATGGCCCTTGTCAAATGTCCTGGTGCACCGAAGTGAAACAGATGTACCCTCGTTCATTCTGCACAAAACGTCCATATCAAAACTTCAGTGTTGATCTGTCAGACGTAGGCAGTGGAGCGAGGGGCAGAATATTTGGCGGAGTACCTACTCTCCTCGCGTTTGGGGCACTGGCAGCAGAGAAGCGCGCCTCCGATGAGCATCAGGCCAGCAGAGCCCCATCCGATGAAGAGCGAAGCGCCCAGCTCTCGCCTCTGCGTGTCCATGAGCAGCGGGTTGTAAAAGTCCCTGATAACAGTGTTGGCAGACCAGGACACGGGGATCAGGCATAGGACGCCGGAGACCAGGAAGAACACGCCGGATGCGATGGCCACCTTGGACTTGGCCTCCTCGTCCTCAATGCAGTTGGTGCACTTCCCCCCGGCCACAGAGAGTAGGACGCCGATCACGGCCACGAGGATGGAGATGATCACCAGAGCTCTGGCGGCCTGAAGGTCCTGGGGGAGAGCTAGCATGGAGTCGTAGACTTTACACTGCATCTGGCCCGTGCTCTGCATCACGCAGTTCATCCACAGGCCTTCCCAGAAGGTCTGCGCAGTCACAATGTTGTTGCCTATGAATGCAGTCACCTTCCACATGGGGAGCGCGCAGATGACAATGTCACCGATCCAACCGATAAGAGCCAGGAAGATGCCCAGAATCTGGAGACCGACTGAGGCCATCGCTATCGCTTTCTGTACTCGGGCAAGCCTTGCGTAAACCTAGAAGGACCCGTGTTTAGCAGTGTTGTGGTGAGGCTATAGACCCCAACCTATATACCCACCTGCCAGGGTATAGTCACTAATTGAGCCGATTGAAAGCACCTGTGGATGTTTATTGGCCGATACACACCCACCAAACTAATAAACGTGTCCAGTCTGCCTGTAGTATCGTTCACAATTAACCATCATTGACACCAGCTGTGAGTTTAATAGTCCAAGCTCATTAATGGACAGCGTGTTATCTAAACGCAGTTTTATCCACTGATTTCCAAATCACCTGAACGGTCAAGCTTTCTGTGCGTAAAACCTGTGCCTCAGTTTGGAGATTAGTGAAGGTGCGCCTCAACTGGGCTGCTTCTTGCTGGTGAATGAGAGGTTGGTTTCAGTGGTAGATTATAACCACTTAACATCCTACAACCGAAATCACATTCCTGCAAGTAGGCATGTTAGCGTATGGCCCTGTTAGAATACTTTTCATATGCATACTTGTCCCTTATTTTCTTAATTATTTCCTTCCTTACCTCCTTTTTTCCCTTTGATATTTAATGAGACTGGAGAAAAGCACGGAATTTTAAAAGCAAAGTAGGCCATAGACCTACAAAGCAATGATTTTCTAGTTCTCAAATAAAATGTGAGAAATGACATAAGGTTTAACATATACTGTTTTTTCTGATTTTGCATTCCTATTTTGTTTACTATTTATTTGGGAAGGCCTATTGTTTACTATACTTTATACTGTATCCTGATAATGGCCTTTGCTGCATGCTTTCAACCATCTGGCCTAGCTCCAACGTTATGCAATCAGTTTCCTTTTATATTCAAGAAATGACATTCATGGTTTGGATGTAAAAAGAAAAATCCTCTATTGGAATCTAATCTGAAACCATAATTTGTGCAGTAGTGAAAAAACTAAACAAATGATCAGTAAAAAGTCTTATTTTACTTGCAATGTCTTTTTATTCTTTAAGCACTGTGCTCTAAGATAACACTCAGAAGGGGAAGTCTGTGTATTGGCCTTTGACCCACAACAACCCTCTCTTTATCTCTCTCACCTCTTCCCCTGTGGCATCGGGATAGTCAGTGCAAAACTGGAGAAACATCTCCCCACATACTTGAATAACAAAAGCTGCATCAACAACTTTATTTTATCATTTACTGGTAGCTACTTTTGCAGATTGGGGGTGTATTTTTTTTGTTGTTGCATCGAAACGATCAGAATTCAAATGTGGTGCATATGCCTATATCTTGGCAACCCACAGCACATTCCAATGTATCCTTCCAGGATATTGTGCACTGGGCACATTGACGGGCTCCCCTATGTGGAAGGACAATTCATGAACTCCAGAAAAACATGATAGATGTGTGGATCTCTTAATAACGGAGCCAAAGCCCACCCCGAGGATGGAGGGGGCTCGGGGGCTCTCTATATAACCTTATCCCACTCGGTGAGAAGAGGGAGAACCAGAGATGATCAGCAGTAGCAGTAGCCGGCAACGATGGTATCTTTGGGGCTGGAGATTCTGGGCGTCGGGCTGGCGTTGCTGGGCTGGGTGGAGAACATCATCATCTGCATCCTTCTCATGTGGAAAGTCTCGGCCTTCATCAGAAACAACATTGTGGTGGCCATCTGGGATGGCCTGTGGATGACGTGCATGGTGCAGAACACAGGACAGATGCAGTGTAAGGTCTACGACTCCCTCCTGGCCTTGCCCCCGGATCTACAAGCGGCCCGGGCCATGGTGGTCATCGCCATCCTGCTGGCCCTGTTCGGGCTCCTGCTCTCGGTGGTTGGGGGGAAATGCACCACCTGCGTCGGGGACAAGCCGGCCAAGGACTGGGTGGCCATTACTGCAGGGGTGTTCTTCCTTGTGGCCGGGGCGCTGTGTCTGGTCACTGTGTGCCTGCCTGCTAACGCAGACATAAAGGACTTCTACAAACCCCTGGGACCTGACTCGCAGAGGAGGGAGCTAGGCGGGTCCTTGTACATTGGCTGGGGCGCTTCAGGACTACTCTTGATCGGGGGTGCTCTTCTGTGCTGTCAGTGCCTGTCGAGGGGCAACAGCTAAGTGTGGAGCGAAGTACACCACGCACAAGTCCTCTGATATTAGTTTGTAAAACAAAATAGAAGAGAAAAAGATGGGGAAAAAATTGAATTAATTTTAACATTGTATTGGTCAATGTCGAAAAAATGTTTTGTTTGTTTTTGTAAATTGTTTGTCATGCATAGTGATAGGTCTACTAATTTCATAACTCCTTTTGGAACATCTATTTCAAAAGAGATGTGTTCCTGACTCATTGTAATATAGCCTGGTTCACTTTAGATTTGGTCTATATTTTGCCTTTGATTTAGCTTACACATTCTGAATGGCTATCTATCACATCAGGGGAGTTTTTGAATAATAATGGTTACTTGACTTTGGGAGTTGCTCGAACTGACCAATATTGTGTTGTTTGGGATTTTACTTTTTGGAATTACTTGGACATTACTTTCCGTAAAAAATGCATGGACATTGGCAACAGAAGCACTTGAGAAAACTAAAGGCACTTACTATTTACTCGTACAGTGTTGTAATTTAATGTTTCGATTTTTTTCCTAAATAAAGATATTTCAACGAATGGTGAGAACTGAATAATTAGTCTCACTCAGCACATAAAAAAAAAAAATAATAATCAGAAAGCAGTCTGGAGGGAAAGTGGTTGGGGGAAAAAACTTTTCGTTTGGACATTTATTTCCACCTGACAAGGAGTTGGCAGATTTACATTTAAGTCATTTAGCAGACGTTCTTATCCAGAGCGACTTACAGTTAGTGAATAAATGTCTCTTTTCTTTTTCATACTGGCCCCCCGTGGGAATCGGACCCACACCCCTGGTGTTGCAAACGCCATGCTCTACCAACTGAGCTACACCCCTGCCGGCCATTCCCTCCCCTACCCTGGACGACTTGTGCACCGCCCCATGGGTCTCCCCGTTGCGGCCGGCTACGACAAAACCTGTATTCGAACCAGGATCTCTAGTGGCACAGCTAGCACTGCGATGCAGTGCCTTAGACCACTGCGCCACTCGGGAGACAGATGTGAAGTCTGTAGGCTACTGAATGTGAAAAGATGCACGCTATGTTCCTCAGCAACGTGTTTCCAGGCGCACTCAGACAGATTGTCTTGAGGTACAGTATATCCTCCATCTGTGTGGCAAGTTTGGACACACCTACTCATTCCAGGGTTTTTCGTCATTTTTTCTATTTTCTACATTGTAGAATAATAGTGAAGCCATCAAAACTATGAAATAACACATATGGAATCACGTAGTAACCAAAAAAGTGTTAAACATATCAAAATATATTTGAGATTTGAGATTCTTCAAAGTAGCCACCATTTGCCTTGATGACAGCTTGCACAATCTTGGCATTCTCTCAACCAGCTTCATGAGGTAGTCACCTGGAATGGATTAAATAATTTAATTTGTGGAATGTCTTTCCTTCTTAATACGTTTGAGCCAATCAGTTGTGTTGTAACAAGGTAGGGGTGGTATACAGAAGATAGCCCTATTTGGTAAAAGACCAAGTCCATATTATGGCAGTCCATCATTACTTTAAGACATGAAGGTCAGTCAACCTGGAAAATGTCAAGAACTTTGAACGTTTCTTCAAGTGCTGTCGCAAAAAACATCAAGAGCTATGATGAAACTGGCTCTCATGAGGACCGCCACAGGAAAGGAAGACCAAGAGTTACCTCTGCTGCAGAGGATAAGTTAATTAGAGCTAACTGCAACTCAGATTGCAGCCCAAATAAATGATTCACATAGTTCAAGTAACAGACACATCTCAACATCAACTGTTCAGAGGAGACTGCATGAATCAGGCCTTCATGGTCGATTTGCTGCAAAGAAACCACTAATAAAGGACACCAATAAGAAGAAGAGACTTGCTTGGGTCAAGAAACACGAGCAATGGACATTAGACTGGTGGAAATCTGTCCATTGGTCTGATGAGTCCAAATTTGAGATTTTTGGTTCCAACCGCCTTGTCTTTGTGAGACGCAGAGTAGGTGAACGGATGATCTCCACATGTGTGGTTCCCACGTGAAGCATGGAGGAGGAGGTGTGATGGTGTGGGGGTGCTTTGCTGGTGACACTGTCAATGATTTATTTAGAATTCAAGGCATGCTTAACCAGCATGGCTACGACAGCATTCTGCAGCAATACGCCATCCCATCTGGTTTGCACTTAGTGGGACAACCATTTGTTTTTCAACAGGACAATGACCCAACACACCTCCAGGCTGTGTAAGGGCTATTTGACCAAGAAGGAGAGTGATGGAGTGCTGCATCAGATGACCTGGCCTCCACAATCACCCAACCTCAACCCAAATGAGATGGTTGGGATGAGTTGGACCGCAGAGTGAAGGAAAAGCAGCCAACAAGTACTCAGCATATGTGGGAACTCCTTCAAGACTGTTGGAAAAGCGTTCCAGGTGAAGCTGGTTGAGAGAATGCCAAGAGTGTGCAAAGCTGTCATCAAGGCAAAGGGTGGCTACTTTGAAGAATTTAAATCTAAAATATATTTTGATTTGTTGAACACTTTTTTGGTTACTACATGATTCCATATGTGTTATTTCATAGTTTTGATGTCTTCGCTATTATTCTACAATGTAGAAAATAGTAAAAATAAAGAAAAACCCTGGAATGAGTAGGTGTGTCCAAACCTTTGACTGGTACTGTATATTATTTATTTATTCGAAATGACTAAATATATGAAATGTTTAGTTGAGCAAGAGTAGCGGCAGTCAGTGAATGTGTTGGGTAAAATATTGTGACATAAAGTGGTTTCTGTGAAAATAATGGACATTTTCTAACCTTTAACGTCACTTATCTAAAAATTTGTCAACTCCGATTTATTTAATTTTCGCATATGTTGTAGCTTAGACCCTATTTCATATCATCTGAGGTTTTTTTGTTGTGCCCGCCATCGATTGAGACACAACTTGTTCTTGAATAGTGGGTGTCATGTTTTTGCTGATAAATTTACTAAAATGCAAATACAATTTAGAATTTTGACTTTCAAATGGTACCACAAACATGGTTCGTGTGGTCCACACATAAGAGAATGTTGACCTGAATGGGAATTAATGTTGTTTTCAATTATACTGGCAATCCTCCATAGGAAACCTATTGAAATCATAAAAATATAGATCATAGAATAGTTGACATTCGACGGTGGGTGGACATTTTTATTCAATTTACATTTCAATAGTGTACCAGCTAAATTGCAGTGGTCTGAATAGATACTGTAGGTCCATTCTATGAATTATATATACAGTGGGGAGAACAAGTATTTGATACACTGCCAATTTTGCAGGTATTCCTACTTACAAAGCCTGTAGAGGTCTGTAATTTTTATCACAGGTACACGTCAACTGTGAGAGACGGAATCTAAAACAAAAATCCAGAAAATCACATTGTATGATTTTTAAGTAATTAATTTGCATTGTATTGCATGACATAAGCATTTGATCACCTCCCAACCAGTAAGAATTCCGGCTCTCACAGACCTGTTCGTTTTTCTTTAAGAAGCCCTCCTGTTCTCCACTCATTACCTGTATTAACTGCACCTGTTTGAACTCGTTACCTGTATAAAAGACACCTGTCTACACACTCAATCAAACAGACTCCAACCTCTCCACAATGGCCAAGACCAGAGAGCTGTGTAAGGACATCAGGGATAAAATTGTAGACCTGCACAAGGCTGGGATGGGCTACAGGACAATAGGCAAGCAGCTTGGTGAGAAGGCAACAACTGTTGGCGCAACTATTAGAAAATGGAAAAGTTCAAGATGACGGTCAATCACCCTCGGTCTGGGGCTCCATGCAAGATCTCACCTCGTGGGGCATCAATGATCATGAGGAAGGTGAGGGATCAGCCCAGAACTACACGGCAGGACCTGGTCAATGACCTGAAGAGAGCTGGGACCACAGTCTCAAAGAAAACCATTAGTAACACACTACGCCGTCATGGATTAAAATCCTGCAGTGCACGCAAGGTCCCCCTGCTCAAGCCAGTGCATGTCCAGGCCCGTCTGAAGTTTGCCAATGACCATCTGGATGATCCAGAGGAGGAATGGGAGAAGGTAATGTGGTCTGATGAGACAAATATAGCTTTTTGGTCTAAACTCCACTCGCCGTGTTTGGAGGAAGAAGAAGGATGAGTACAACCCCAAGAACACCATCCAACTGTGAAGCATGGAGGTGGAAACATCACTCTTTGGGGATGCTTTTCTGCAAAGGGGACAGGACGACTGCACCGTATTGAGGGGAGGATGGATAGGGCCATGTATCGCAAGATCTTGGCCAACAACCTCCTTCCCTCAGTAAGAGCATTGAAGATGGGTCGTGGCTGGGTCTTCCAGCATGACAACGACCCGAAACACACAGCCAGGGCAACTAAGGAGTGGCTCCGTAAGAAGCATCTCAAGGTCCTGGAGTGGCCTAGCCAGTCTCCAGACCTGAACCTAATAGAAAATCTTTGGAGGGAGCTGAAAGTCCGTATTGCCCAGCGACAGCCCCGAAACCTGAAGGATCTGGAGAAGGTCTGTATGGAGGAGTGGGCCAAAATCCCTGCTGCAGTGTGTGCAAACCTGGTCAAGACCTAAAGGAAACATATGATCTCTGTAATTGCAAACAAAGGTTTCTGTACCAGATATTAAGTTCTGCTTTTCTGATGTATCAAATACTTATGTCATGCAATAAAATGCAAATTAATTACTTAAAAATCATACAATGTGTTTTTCTGGATTTTTGTTTTAGATTCCGTCTCTCACAGTTTTTTTTTTATTTATTTATTTTAGCAGATGCTCTTATCCAGAGCGACTTACAGGAGCAATTAGGGTTAAGTGCCTTGCTCAAGGGCACATCGACAGATTTTTCACCTAGTCAGCTCTGGGATTAGAACCAGCGACCTTTCGGTTACTGGCACAACGCTCTTACCCACTAAGCTACCTGCCGACAGTTGAAGTGTTCCTATGATAAAAATGTCAGACCTCTACATGCTTTGTAAGTAGGAAAACCTGCAAAA